ACAGTGTCTGGGAGGTCCTATATCCTTCCTGATGACTACAAATCAAAGGAATGGCTTTCAGGTCCTTGAGAAAGACACTGTTATAGGAGATACATATACATCTCAAAGGGACAGAGGAAAGATTTATAGTTGTAAGGTGTTTATTTTTTGAATAAATGGAAAAGGGAATTCAGGGACAAAGAATAGGGTTGGCTAGAACACATACTAAATTCTTTTGGAAACCCTGAGTTTTCAAGACAGGAGCTCAATGGGAGCAGGGTGATCCCAGAGACATGTCCTGAGACTGCTAGAAGCCACGTTAGAATTTGATTTAGTCTCTTAATGTACTGGATGTTCATGCTGAGGGTTTTTGCAGTTCTCTCCCCCTGCTGCATAGCTCCCCCTTTTAATTCCTTATGTTCTAAGTTGTCAAAAAAAGCAGGATTTTTCAAAAATGACTCTTAAGATTAGTTTGTTCATGATCTCACTGAGATAAATTCCATGTATTTGCTGTGTAGGCATGTGAAACCACCTCTTCTGTAAATATTGAGATGTTGTGGCCTTTAAATCCACCCCCTCCCTGCTCCCGCCTTTTGCCAACCTCAACCTTGTTTTTCTGTAAGTTAGGAGGAAAAGACAGGCTTGGGGTATTGGAGTGTCAGCAGGCTGGTGGCCAAGTGTCCTCCCAGGCTGAATGGCATTGATTTCATATGTATATCAGAAAGGCCATCTTTAGGCACCATACAGGGGATACAACTGGATATGACCTCTCATTAACCAGATTAGAGAATCAAACATAAAATCAGTATGATAGAATAATAACTTAAAGAGTGATAAATATGAACATTGTATAGAAATGTTCATGTTTTGGATGCTGGAACATTCTCTAAAGAGAAATTGCATGCAAAACCAAATTACATTTACCAGGCTATTTGGTCAGAATCAAGTTGGATCCTAGGGAGTTAATATGAATTACCAACCTAGTGAGGATCCCCTTGCTTCCAAGCAATGCAGGCTGGCTGGGTCCTCAGACCCAGAGGGTCTTCCAGGACAGCCAAGAGGGTCCTTGGCTTTGCATGGTGTAGAAATCAAATGTAAACCAAGAGGAAGTGAGAGCAGAGTGTATTGAAGACATAGAGTGCAGATGCAGACAGAGCATCTGGGAGACTCAGAAAGGAAAGGAGAGTGAGCCTTGTCTTTGCTTGGGGTCTGGGTTTTTATTGAGGATTGTGCTCTGGTGCACAAATCTTCTCTGGCATCTGGGAACGGGTGTTCTCCACAAGTCACTTGTGCACTGGAGCCGGGGGTCTTAATGAGTCAGTGGTCTTGGAAGACACTCATGATGACCTTGCCTGGTCACTCCTTAGATGTTATCTATTATACTGGAAAGTTTCCAAAGAAATCATTAATTCCTTGACCTTTACAAGGAGGACATACGTTATCTGTTTTATAAGGCATGTAAAAGGCGGGAGTGTTGGTCCTAACAGGAATAGAAGCAGGGAAAAAGGGACTTTTTCATGGAGTCCCTTTAGTTTTCCTGTCTCACAAGGATCCAAGAATAGCTGTCATAGACAGTCTCTGATAGACACAGCTAGTTTCTGGTGCTCTAGCAAATGTTGGCCCATAGGCCAAATCTGTCCTGCTGTCTACTTATGTATAGCTTGAAAACTAAGAGTGGTTTTTACATATTTAAATGGTTGGGAGAATGGTTGACACATATGAAAATTTTATGAATTTCAAATTTCCTTATCCATAAATAAAGTGGTATTGGAACATAGCCAAGTTTATTCATTTATGTATTTTCTATGGTTGCTTTTGCATTAGAACAGCAGAGTTGAATAGTTGAAAAGAGACTGTATGGTCTACAGAGCTTAAATTATTTCCTGTTTGGCCCTTAACAGAAGAAGTTTGCTGACCTCTGATACAAATTTATATGGTCCTGCAGAACTGTTTAAGTGTCATTTAGAGTACTCATTTTTTAACAGTCTTTACTTTGTGATAACAATAGGTAATGGCTATTTGGGTATATCTAATATTAAGTTTCAGGTGTTTTGTTTTTCCTCAAATGGCATAATAATATGTCTACATTGCCCTTAAAGAAGCAAAATGAGTAGCATATTCATATCTGAATATCAGCACAAAAGTTTTGTACCCTAAACTATATAAATAAGGTATGTAAATGAAAGGTAAGTAGTATAAGGCAGAGAGGCCTGTATCTTAATTATCTATTTATCTACTCCTCTTTCACTTTTCTCCCCTTTCACACGGTGAAAGATAATTAAAAGTTGTTCATTTGTATTTGGTATCTGTGACTGCGTGAGCCTTCGTGCTTGGGTTGTTGAGCAGGCATTGGAGCTGTGTCATTCCCAGCCCCTCTCAGATACCGGAGGTGTGCTTCCCCAGACTCAGCCTTACCCATTAAAGATGGTCAACAAACATCCTCTTCCTTTAGGGGCATGGTATACAGCAGAGCACTCACAAGTTATAAGCTGGGTTCTACATTCTTGACTGTCCCTCTGTTTTTTTAAATTGAGATATTACTCACATATCATGAAATGTACGCTTTTAAAATACACAATTCAGTATTTTTTAGTATATTCACAAGGATGTACAATCATCACCACTATCGTTAATTCTAGGACATTTTTATCACTTGGAAAAGAAATCTACTTATTAGCAATCACTCTGTTCCTCCCTCTACCTAGTCCCTGGCAACTAACTACTAATAAACTTTTTGTCTGTGTGTATTTGACTATTGTGTACATTTCATATACATAGAACCATACAGTATGTAACCTTTCGTATCTGGTTTCTATTACCAAGCTTAATGTTTTTAAAATTTGTCCCTGCTGTAGAAGGTGTCACTACTTCATTCCATTTAATAGCTGTATAAAATTCCATTGTATGTTTATTCATATGTTTATTCATTCGTATGTTTATTCCATTGTATGTTTATCAGTTGATATTTGGATCATTTCCACCATTTTGCTTTTATAAAAAAATGCCACTATGAACATTTGTACAGGTTTTTGCATGGATATGTGTTTTCTCTCTTCCTGTATAAATACCTAAAAATGGAATTGCTAAGTCACATAGTAACTCAGTGTTAACATTTTAAGGAACTGATTGGCTTTTTCACAAAGCAGCTGTACCGTTTTACATTCCTGTCAACAACCTGTGCGTTTCAGTCTCTCCTCATCCTCACCAACATTACTATTATTTTTCTTTTTTGATTACAGCTGTCCTTATGGATATGAAGTAGTATTCCATCGTGGTTTTGATTTGCATTTCCCTAATGACTTATGATGATCATACTTTCCTGTGCTTATTGGCCATTTGTATATATTCTTCAGCAAAATGTCCATTCAAATTCTGACTTTTTAGCTATTACATTAGGGTCCTCCCTGTGTAATATTCCAAAAATTTCCTTTTACTTTGTATATCTCAATTTTTTTTTCTCTCTCTGTCTACAAAAGATAGTATTGTCAGTCAGAGACTTACAGTATTCCAGAGAATGGCAACCTTATTCTTCCTTTGTGCCTTTGAAGATCTCCCATTATGTTGTTCCTGGCCATACTGCTTCCCTTATTTTCTTTTTCTATCCTAACAACGATCTCCTATAATTTTATTATACAATCGGTAAAAAAGATGACACTGGTGCTGGATAGGAAAAGGATAAAACTCCTAGGAGGGCCAGCCCGGTCTTCTTTCTAGGTTGATGTGGTTGTATAAGCAATCCCATTTGCCTGTTTATTTTTCTCCTGCCTGCCTATCTAGCCAATTGCATAAGCTCCCAAATAATCTTGTCCCTTGGTTGGTTCTTTTCCTTTGGCCTTCATTATATTCTTCACTCCTTGGATTAGACCAAAGAGCATGAAGTTGCTAGACACTTTATATCATTTTCATGCCTATTTTATAACCTTTAAGATCAGTATTATTACTGCTCCCCTTTTATTTCTGAGGAAACTGGCTCACAGAGGTCATACAGTCCATGGCATTTCTCCTGATTAGTCCTTATTATTGAGTAGTATGGTTATCCATGTCTTTCCTCAGACTGTTACAGTGACTCTGGTTTGCCTGATATGCTTGTATAGGGAGCGAAGCCTAGAAATTTAAGTTAATGCCACATTATAGAAGGTCTCAAATGCCAAGCAATAGAATCTTTACCCATAAAGGACATTTAGTTGGAGAGTGGCTCTGTTAAAAAATATGCATACAGGGGCACCTGGGTGGCTCAGTCAGGTAAGCGTCCGATTCTTGATTTTGGCTCAGGTCATGATCTCACAGTTTGTGGGATCGAGCCCTGCATCGGCCTGCATGGGATTCTCTCCCTCCCTCTCTCTCTGCCCCTTCCCCGCTTGCATACGCTCTCTCTCTCTGTCTCAAAATAAATAAATAAACTTTAAAAAATAGCCTGCAATTTGGCATGCTTTTTGAACCTACTTCTATTCTAGGCATAGTGATAAACTATTGTCCTTACCCTCAAGGAACTTCTAGGTTGTTTGGAAGGGGAATCAGATAATTATTTGCATTTGGGAAAATGTGCCATAAAATGTGTATAATATTCTTGAGAGCAGAGGAGAGAGCTACAGAGATCACTGCTTACCTTAAATTCAGTCATTAATCTGGGCGCCTGGGTGGCTCAGTCATTTAAGCATCCAACTTCAGCTCAGGTCATGATCTCGCAGCTCGTGGTTAGAGCCCCATGTTGGGCTCTGTGCTGACAGCTCAGAGCCTGGAGCCTGCTTCAGATTCTGTGTCTCCAGCTCTCTCTGCCTCTCCCCCACTTGCTCTCTCTCTCTCTCTCTCTCTCTCTCTCAAAAATAAATAAACATTAAAAAATTTTTTTTTAATTCAGTCAGTCAGTAGTTAACATTTCTGGTTGATTTGGCTTGGATTGTATTTGTTACAAACTTGTTCCATTATAAATACATATAAACAAAACAGTTAACATAATTGTACAACAAAATACCAATGTTAATAGAAATTTTATGTATTAAGATATTAACTTTCTCTTACAGATATGTCAAGAGTTTAATAGCACCTGGGCATGGGAGATGGAGAAGAAGGGCTATCTTGAAATGAGTGTTGAATGCAAACTAGCGCTCTTAAAGGTAATGAATTTATTATCTGTTACAATTATTTTAATTAATTCACTGATAGCCATTTCAAGAAAAATGTGCATAAAAGCTTTAACAGAAAGAATCATTGAAAATTTTATACATAAGAAAGAAATTTGGGAGACTAATACAAACATAGTGCTTTTGAAATATAACATGATTTTTGTGTCATTGATTACAATAAGCCTATAAACTTATAAAATACTAAAATAAAATGTTAACTTGAAATATATCTTTTTAAATTGGTTATTCCAAACAGGTTGTACAAAAGTGGGGAGAGGATAGGGAAAGATGGATAAACTACATGTATTTTTTCTGCTCTTGTTCCTGAATCAGTTCTGTGGTTAAACATATCACATTTACTGTGATGGAGAAACATTTATAGAGTATTTTAAGCCATGTTATGACTATTTTCCAGTACCTCTGCGAGTGTCAATTTGATGACAATCTCAAATTCAAAAACATTATCAATGAGGAAGATGCTGATACCATGCGTCTCCAGCCAATTGGCCGAGACAAAGATGGCCTTATGTACTGGTACCAGTTGGATCAAGATCACAATGTCAGAATGTACATAGAAGAACAAGACGATCAAGATGGCTCTTCATGGAAATGCATTGTCAGGTACCTTTTATTGAAGTCTTTTCATGTTTACTTGTGTGTTTCTTTAATCACTTCTCTATAAGATTATTATCTCTGAGGCTGGGGTGGTCCTTTTTTTTGTGGGTTTGGAGAGTTGTTGGGACCTAGCCTAGTGACCAGCACAATACCCATAGTAGGCACTTAATTATTTGTCAAATAAATAACTACATTTAGCATGGTGGTCCATATTAGCACATGTACGTTATGCTTCAGGAAGGTGGAATCTGACAAATAATAATGTAGCAATAATATGCACAGAAAAACCCATCATTAGGCAACAATACAAGCAAAGTATTACTTGGTTCTTACCTAGCTATAGTTTTCTATTAGGCATAATTTATTTCATTTGGCCAATTCACCTTGCACTTTAGTATATTTTTAATTTTTGCTATGTATACATTTCTTCATTAGGGTTCTGAAGAAATCTGACAAATATTTTGGGTTTTTTGGGGGGTTTGGGGGGGGTTTTTGGTAGTCCTTTGAAAAAAAATCTTTGTTCCTTATTTGTGTTTATTTTTTAAAGCTTTTATTTGTAAGTAATCTCCACACCCAATGTGGGGCTAGAACCCACAACCCTGAGATCAAGAGTCACATGCTTTACCAGCTGAGCTAGCCAGGTACCCTCTTATTTGTATTGATTGATATATTTGGAAACATTTCATGTAAAACCTTAAAATAAAACTTTATTTTTTGATTAATAAGTGACTCCAGGATCATTATTCAGAATCTTGTGTCTCTAACTTTCTGTTTTTGCAACTTAATTATTTAGAATTTATTTCACTAGTACCCACATTTTATATTAATTTCAAAGTTATCAGGATCTATAACTAAATCTATAACTAAAGTAGGGAGAACTAGTGGATATATAACCTGACTTATGAAAAACTCCTTTGACTTTTATTCCTCTCTGTTTTTGCTCATTTGAGTTTTAGCAGATTTTTGTTTAGTGGTTATTTATTAGTGTTTTGAAGAGGGAATCTGTGGGAACTTAGAATATTTGTTTGGGTCAGAGAAGCTCAACTTCAGTTCCTTAAGAATTAATGTGAATTGAATGACTTTGTAGGGGCTTGTTTTATAAGCTCCCTTCAATCATACTATAATATAGTCTGGTTCTCCATATAGTTAATTTACTAAACAAATAATCCTGAAATGAAAGTCACTTACCATCTCTCCCTGTGATACATTGAATGAGGTTCTGTTCGTGATGTTCTACCACTTATACTATTTCTTGTATCCACCTTGCATGGTTATTTAAGAAATATTCTCTACTTTGTAGATGAAGAAAATCTGACAGAGAAAAATCATTATTATTATTTCTGATCAGTCATAATGCTTAAAGCAATTTCTAATGTATAGCGTAGATTATACCCTGATGGATGATGTGAGAGAAGTGTTTAGATGATGTGGTTAGAGCTAACTGTGCTTGAATCTGGGTTCCTCTACTTACCATCTGAAGGCAGATTACTTAATTTCTTTGATATTCACTTTTCTGCACTTTAGAATGAGGATGATAGTAAAGTTATTGTGAAGAATATATAAATTTATATTGCATATCTACTTGTGTAATTAGGTACTATGCTGAGCAATTATGGTTATACTAATGAATAATGTAGCTTTGGGATCTATAGATGGGCTTCAGGCACCTGTGAAATCCCTTATATTATAAATAATAGCTCTTAGTTGTATATAATATATGTGAGATGTGGGGAAGTACCATGGTTTTCCGTAAATCCTCAGTTTGGTCTGTTTATACTTCATATACTTGACATGTTCTGTCACAAGGCATTTTAGTTACCTTTAACTTGATGCAGTAGTACTAATTTTGACAAGTGTAGTGAACCGTCTTGTCCATATAGGTCTCTTATTTTTGTGAATGTTGAATGTGAAAAGCATTGTGTTATTCTTGACTGTCACCAAAATTATGATCTTCATTGTCATTAAAATACATTATGTACCCAAAATAATGTGTAGGACATTATCCCACTTGGCTGTAATGACATCCTTCCTGGAGTCTAGTATTTAGATGTGGATGCCTAACTCTAAGAAGAATATTAATATGGTAGAATAAATGCTTTATGAGAAAGACCACAAAGAAGATGATTGAATGAACTAAAAATACTTGATTTAGTAGAAATTTAGGGAGATATAATTATCTTTAAACATTTAAAGGATTGATTTGTGTAAGAGTATTTCTCTCAAGCACTGAGCCAGGATCCGTTGATACAAATTATGGGGAAGTAGAACTGTGCTTACAGAAGTGAGAACATTTGCTTTTTTTATATTGCAGAGAAATTGTTGTCTGAAGACTGATCGATGCTGTCAGAAGCATTTTCTAAACTTGTATGAGTGGAGTTTTTAAGGAGGCAGTAATCTTTTCGGCAAGAAATTCACTTAGAAACTGAGATAATAAATGAAGAGCAAGTAAAGCAAATAGAATTTTGACTTTTTAATTTAATAGATCGCTCTTGGATATTTTTCTTCATTGGTGAATATAATTTTTACTAGTGAAATGAAAAGTCTGCTTCTTTTGTTTAAAACTATTTCTTCAAAGTATTGCTAATTTTCATGGAGATTTCTGGTGTTGGAAATATGTTTCTGTCTCAGTCTTAAAACAAGGTTATGTGACAAAAGTTAGCTCGTCTTTAGAATTCTGAGTTTTTTCTTTTTTTTTTTAAATCAGACTTTTTTTTTTAACATTTATTTATTTTTGAGAGAGAGA